AATAAAGAAACAGGGAATAAGGGCTTTGATCTGGCTAAGAGGAATGCCAAGCTGAACTACTTAAGGAAACTCAGGTAGCCCCTGTCTCAGAAACATTCTTTTACTTTATGCTCAGTCTATAATGGTGGCTTTGTTGCCATGTTCAGTAATGATGGTGGATACAGGCAGCAATGATAGCAGTGCAAGCTCAGTTAGCAGCTTAATTATAGTCAGTCACATTAGAATTCCTCACTATTGGCATTTATATGAGTGATAAACTCATATAAATTGTTCAAGCTCTCAGGAAGACATGTCTTTAATTTGTTGATGTGTAGTATTCCTAGGTACAAACCAAACATTTAGGCCATTGGCAACATACCAGGAGTCAGTAAAAAATACAATAAACTTGTCAAGAGGCATATTTGTCACACCTCTGAGAACAGCCTTGAGTTTTGTACCCTGAGTGGAGGAACTGTGGTCATTTCAGTTTTGCATAGCTAGCACTGAGAATAAATAGCATTAGCATACCATTGGGTTTCATTTGGCTAAACCATTAATAAATAAGACCCAGATATTTAATGAAACCTCTTTGAATCAAGAATCCCATTGAGTTGTTGTTTCAGGGGGTGGAGTTGGAAACTGACTTTTCCTTAAAGGGTAATGATACTTTTTTATATATGATCAAGATGCTACTGGGATGAGGCTGGCTGCATTCTTGAATACACCATTTCCATGTGACAAGTGAGAACTTTACCATCTTATTATATTATCAGTTGATCCACCCCCAAAATGAAAATACCAGACTGGAGAGTTAATAAGTGTCTATGATCCAGATGTTCAATTTTGAGAAGAGCCCAGTAGCAAAATAATGACTATTTAGGAGAAACAGTGTCCAGGAGAAGATGAGACCAATTCTGAAAGAGCAATTCAGGTGGGGGCTACCTCTATTTGATGATAATTCAAATGAACCCTCATCAACTCAAAGATTTGTGACTCAAAGATGTCATTAATGTGGGACCCAAGGGTAGAAATCATGCCATAGCTTGCTACCAATAGAGCTACCAACAGTGTTAGTGGATGCTGATTTTGAAGTTAGATTATGAGTAAAATGTCAAAGTGAGAACATACTCTCTTTATTATCCATAGAACCCAATGAGGTATGGGGGCCTCTGTTTTGATGGCTGGGGCTAAAAAGACAACAGTTTTTCCTTGCTGATGGAGGGAATTTACCCATAGAACCCCTCAATGTTGTCAGTTTATCACCTACTCTTGCTGGCTGAGGTTTTTGACTTTTCAACTAATAGGACATTTTGTAATTACAATTTTGAACATCAAAAATGAGAGCTAATAAGCCAAACTCAAAAAAGTCCAGGGTTGAATGTTTTCTCTCATATGCAAAAAGCAGAAAAAAATAAGAGGAAAAAAGGAGGTGAGAGACATGATGAAAATAAAAGAGAAGAATGGAATGGAAGAGGGGTGGGGTTAAGGGGAAGTGGGTAAGATGGGAAAGGAGAAGGCCTGCAGAATGAAGATGATCAAATTATACTCTGTGCATGTGTGAATGTACCATGGTGAATTCAATAGTACACTGAATTTTACATGTATGCAATTTTATATGTATACATTATGTATACATATAAAGCACAAATTTATTTAAACAATAAATAGCTGGGTATGGAGGTACACACCTGTAATCCCAGCAGCTCTGGAGGCTGAGGCAAGAGTATCAAGTTCAAAGCCAGCCTCAGCAATGTAGTGAGGTCCTAAGCAACTTATTGAGACTCTGTCTCTAAATAAAACATAGAAAAAGGCTGGGAATGTTGCTCAGTGGTTAAGCATCCCTGGGTTCAATCCTTGGTACCATAATAATAATAATATAAAAAATAAAAATAATAAATATATGGGGGGAAAGCCAGTAGAGTAGTGCAAGTGAAACAGGAGGTAGGGTTGAGAAAGAAAGAAAGAGGTACCAGGGACTGAAATGCAGAAAATTATGTTCAATGAATGTGTGATTATGCCAAATGAACCTCATTATTATGTATAGCTATAATAAACTCAGAAAAACATAAAAAAGTAGAGCTACCAACACTAAACCTGAAAGCAAATGACAAAGGAGTTTAGGTACTGCAGAAGCACTATAAACATATCAGGGGCCTTGCCATATGAATGCAAATACATTAGTCTTGGTCCTCAAGTACCAGAGTGGTAGAAAAATGATGTAGGAAATGTAACATACCAAATGCTGTCAGTGCAGTGAATTTAATTACAGTTAAAATGTCTGGAATACCTAAGGGAATAGCATCAACAACCAAATTCACCAAGCTTTAATACTCTGTAAGGGTCTAGCTCCATTAGCATTTCTTACTGGCCACACTTGGCTGTTGTTTTAATATATTATACCTTGTAGTATTCCTGCTACCTTTAAATCCTTATGCAATTTCCTCTTTTCTTTGAGATTTTTCCATTGTTTCTGCTGGACTACCTGAAAGAAAATGGGGAAAATAATTGGGGAGAGATTTACTGATTCCACTAGCATCTTTCTACATGTACTCTTCCTGATCAGGAGAATCCCCGTTGGACTTTGTAGGCATTTACAGTGAAATATTAATACCAATTATACACTCAGCAATTAAAGGCACAAAAAACCCGCTACATTGAATGGCCCCAAAGAGCTTCATATACAAGGTCACTTTAGCTTTCCTACAATGAATCCTGCTCAAATCTAGTGATCTGAATCCTAGTGCCCGAATGCCTTACCTCATAAGCACTAATCCACAGAATGAAGGTGAGTGTGTTTTGGAGTTATATCCAAGGGAACTATGATAAGTTGAATCCCTCCTTTCCTGGAAGTTTTTTAGTATATTTGAATCGGTATATATGAACCTTGTCCCATCTTAGAAACAGGGAAACATTGTCCCACTTTTAATCATCTTTTTCCTTACAGAATCTGAGATCAGTAAAAAGGAAGAGGGAGGGGTTATAAATCACAGAGGGCAAGACAGCTATATAGCTATAAGCAAGGAACATTTACTTCTGATTTTGAGTGTCGTGGTGGTAACTTTTAGCTGAACAAAGTAGAATTCTAATGTTTTGTTTCATCCAAAGTTTTTTTTTTTTTTTTTTTTAAATCAGTAGCCATACCATCAAAACTGCCAATCTCTAGGGCTAGAGTCATGGCTCAGTGGTAGAGCGCTTGCCCAGCATGTGTGAGGCACAGAGTTATATTCTCAGCATGACATATAAATAAAAATAAAGATCCATTGACAACTAAAAGAATATTAAAAAAACAACAGCAACTGCCGATTTATAGATGATAGATTAAAGGCACCCGTGTTTGGTACCACAAACTATAAGAACAAAATCAGGACTGCCAACCTGATTGTATCATTTATGTAAATACCCACAGTCAGGTACTGTTTTATGATGAGGCCCCTTGGAATAATGCTGATTGAGCCTGAACTACCTCCCTTGATGCCTGGATTTATCATCATAGCAAGTATAGAAGAACATGCTCCATCATAGACTGAGCACAAAGTAAAGAACTTTGTTGCATATTGCTAAGGCTACCCTGAGTCCCTCATTTAGTTGAGCCTAACATTCTTCTTAACCAGATCAGACCTCTTCTTTGTTCTTCTATCTAGGCATGCTTTTATTTCTCTAATCATTTATACTCTGTATTCATTAAACAAGTATGTATCCTTCGAGATTAAAAAACAGTAAGATATCCTTCCTGTTCTCCAAGAAACAATAATATGACAAAGAAATATATAATTTATAACACAGTGTGTGTTAATCACAATGAGAGGTTTAAACAATGGGAGCAGAGAAGAGGGGCATCTACAACAGACTGGTATCAGAGAAATCTTGGTTTATGCTCACAGTGTTTGCAAATTTTTCTCCTTTCACAGTAAGTACAGGTACATGACTTTATAACTATTGTCTGCTCACCAGAATGAATCTTAGTAGCTGAGGATAATAAATAGATTGATGAGGAAGTTTTCCCACGTACAGAAGAATTAGAAAAAACTGGAAGCTGTCTTGGAGTCTTTTTCCTAGTACTTGGCCTGAAACCATTTCAGTTATTTCTCTATTAACATTGAGGCGAAAGACCATTATTATGCAGTTGAACATAAAACATGGTCAACATGTTATTGATCTTCAAAAATGTCCCACAAAGTCTTTCACCAGCCCATCAGTCCCTGATCCTTTCTCTTTCAGAAAACCATGACTGTCAACATTCCCTTCTTGTCACTGCGGAGATTGCAAAGTGTCTTGATATTTTACTTTTTTTGTAAGCTAAGGAGTTAGGCTGCCACAGTTTCATAGATGATGCCAGAAGACCCATACGACAAAGATAAAGGACTGTATTACTTGCAACAATAGCAGTAGCCCGAGAATCAACATTTCTAGTCTCTGTTTCTCAAGCCCCATTTCCTACAGGGCCATGCTAACATTACCACATGACAAATTCCTATGCAATGGTTTTTATAGGTTGCAATCACTCAAATGAGGGAACACTAACATTAAGCAAACCTATTCTTTGCTCTGAATGTAGTCATTATTTCTATCATCCAAAGCTGCAGTTAAAAAGTACTCAAGCACAAAGGCAGTCAGTGTCTCTGCTTGTTTTGAGAACTCCAAAAACTACTGGTGTAGAGATTTCTGCAAGTATGGGAAATTACATAAGATGAAATAAACTCTTCTACCTTCATCTTATTAACCATGCTCAGCTTTTACCAGATCATCAGTTTACTTTGGAATAGTCCAATTTCAACACTCCCTGGTGAAAAGCTTTGAAATTTAAAAACTTGCCTTTGAATAACTGTCCCATTTTATGATTTCTCTTTGGGAGCAATATAAAAATGGGTTAAGCAGTACATTCATATTCTAAAACTCACATAAGCAACATCTAATAATTTTATTCAGGTCTTAGATATCTTAAGATTCATGTTAAAACCTTGAAATACTTCACTTACAATTCAGAAAATAAGCATTGATTCTTAAACTTTTTTTTTTTTTAGCTTACAGTTTGGGGTGGACCAAAGGAGAATGCTTCATGTATTGAGCAAAATAAAGAAAATCAGTGTTTTGAGAATGAAATTGATGAAAAGTCAAGTGTAAGTGTTCGAGTATTTTCTTTGTTTCTATGCTTTATTGGGAAAATGTGTCTTGTACTCTATGTATAAAGTTTGTAGTAGTGTTAAAATAAAAGAAAATGTGTAGCCTAATTTCTAACCTTGACATGGTCAGCATATTGGGTTCCCCTGCTACTAAGCTGACACTGAATGTTTATCATTTTGAGTAGTTATATATTTCAATTTGGGATCTGTGTTTTGGTGTGTATTCTTAAATTGATGGTGATAACACTGCCATTTTGTAATCTACTCCATTTCTTCTCTGGTGAAAAATGTTTTCATTTAAAATAAAAGGTGCTATTTTAAACTATTTGAGATTCTTATAAAATGGTAAATGCTTTTCCTTCCAGGAAAGGAAGTCATCTAAGTTGGCAATAACACTGTTTTCTCCAAAAGGACAGAGTAAGCGTGGATGTCCATGTTGGACTCATTCATACTTAGAAAACAATTTTTTGGACTTCCTGGCTGTCCACAGGGATATTTGTAGTTTTGCTTCCTGAAGATGAAATCATTAGGCCTAAATGGAATACAAATGTGCCAACTTGTCAGGCAGCTTAATTAAATAAATGCTGGCACATATATTAGAGAAGCTTATGTTCTCATCATAGGAAAGCATATTGTTAGTCTATACTGCCTGAACTCCAAAGCTTCAGTTTATCTTATATGAGAGTTATGAGATTTTAATAAGATCTTGAATATAGATTTAATAGTGCCTGGCAAATAGTATATTTATTATTCTATTAAAATGAATTTCAAGTTTTACAACTTGTAGAGGTGATGTTTTTATTAAAATTCCAAACATAGAAACAAAGACATCACTAAGAAGAAACTATAAAATGTTTCTTCATCTTTTTATTGGTGAAGAAGCATTTTACATTTAAGGTGGAGAGAAACTTGACTGTAGGAAGCATATAAGTCTGAGAAGAAATCATGGTGTAAGAGTAAGTAAGAATTAGAGGCTTAAAACCTGGGTCATTATTTTTGTACACTTACTGTCTGAGAGTTCTTGGGCAAATCATTCAGCCTTTCTGTACCTCAGTTTCCTAATCTAAGTGAAAGGTTTTGATTAGATAAATTGTGGGTCCTTTAAAATTATAATGTATTTATATCACTTTGATATAATATAGAAATCATTTATTTTAGAGAATCTCAACATTAACCTCAATTATTTTCAGGCTATAATGTGTGTTTACACTCTATAAAATAGCTATACCTTCTAATTAAATAGAATTCTTTAAAGGTCAGCTCTATTTTGCTACTTATTATTCTTTCCTACATTTGAAAGGAAAATTCTTTTCCTTAATGACACTAATGCCTGTTTTAGGGAGGTAGAACAGAACAAGGATTCCCTGGCATTTATATGCATAAATTAGATGTTATTCATTACCTCCATTTTGAAATTGATGGTTCTAAAATAGTAACTAGCCAAATAAATCTTGAAAAATAAAAATAAAATTGGAGGCCTTATATCTCCTAATTTAAAAACATAACCAAACAAATCATAATCCACATGGTATGGTATTGACATAAAGACAGATATATGGACATATGTATGGACCAATGCAACAGAATAGAGAACTCAGAAATAAAGGCTGAATGAAAGCAAAGTTGGTAGCACTATACAATAAAAAAGAGATTATTCAACAAATAGTGGTGAGAAAACTGGATATCCATGTGCAGAAGAATGAAGTTGGACCCTTAGTTTACACTATATAAAAATTAACTCAAAATGGGTTAAAAACACAATTAAGACCAAAGATTATAAAACTCCCAGAAGAAAACAATGGAGAAAATGTTAAGACTTTGGCATTGGCAATGAGTTCTTGGATATGATACTAAAAACATAGGCAATAAAGGCAAAAATGAAAAGTCAGAACTATATAAAACACTTTCTTATGAAGAGATGCTCAGCACTACTAATCATAACAGAAATGCCAATTAATACAACAATGAGATCTCAGACCTATTGGGATGATCGTTATCAAAACAAATATTAGTAAAGATGTGGAGACATTGAAACCCTGGTACATTGTTCGTGAGAATATAAAACAGTGCAATCATTATGAAAAACGTACAAACATTCCTAAATTACAATATGATCCAGAAATCCTATTTCCAGATATATAGCCAAAATATTTGCAAGAAGAATTTTGAAAAGATATTCACACACCAATGTTCATTGCAACATTATTTACAGTAGCTAAGAAGAGGAAGCAACTCAAATGTCCATGAGAGGATAAAGAAAATGTAAAAAAATAATATTTAAAAATGTTTATTTACAATGGAATATTATGTAGCCTTAATACAGAAGGTAATCTTATTGTGTGCTAAAATATCTTGAATCTTGAGGAACATTATGCAAAGCAAAATACATGAGTCACAGAGAAGACAATATTGATGATTCCACACATACGAAGTACCGAAAGTAGTTAAATTTTTAGAAAGTAGAAAGGAGGTTGCCTAAAGCTAAGGAAAATAGGGGAGGAGGAATTAGTGTTGGTGGATATGGAGTTTCAGTTTTACTTATTTATTTATTTGTTTATTTATTTATTTATTTATTTTTGCCACATGGCGATTAAGCTCAGGGCACATGTTAGGTAAGTACTCTTAACTCTGAACTATACCCTCAGCCTGAATTTCAGTGTTCTGATGATGAAAAAGTTTTCAAGCTCTGTTGTTTATCAGTATAAATACATAAAATGGTACTGAACTCTGTACTTAAAAGTGATTGAGATTACAAGTTTAGTATTTTGTTTCTTATAACAACAATGAGAATAATAATAACAATAAATGATTCTGAGTTAATCTTCCTAGATCGCCAAATATGAAAATATCATAGAGTCAGAGGATTAAAAGTAACTTTAATGGTAAACTAGAGAAGTGACCCCTAATTTTAAATTTCCTCTACTACCACCCCATAAAAGGGGAATCTGTCATTTTCTGGAAAACCTCTAATCTGGAATATTTATTACCTGCCAAGGTAGCTCATTTCATCTGGGCAACTTTTAATATTATTCTTATTTGACCCATGATATTCAACCTATATTAGCACTGGGCATATTTTATATTTCTCAATATAAGTGAAAACACAGTGGCAAATATCTCATCTTTCTGGAATTAATAAAGATTATTATTATTATTATTGATGGATTATTATGGTTCAATCTTGCTAAGTTGGTTTACTAATTTAAAACATAAAATGTCATAATTTCTCTTGTCCAGATAAAACATCATGTTTTATCTTTGAGTATCTTGTAGTGCCTCAGAGTCAAGTTTCTGCCTATTAAAAATCAATGACTGGACTGTCTGTACTAGCATTGCCTGAGATCAGGTTTGTGTGTTACTAAATGTGACACATTCATGAAGCAAGTTTAAACTATTCAATTCAAATATCAATATATCTCAGTTTTTTCATTGGTTATATTTAATTTAATAGTTATGAGTAATTAGTTATATATCATGACAGTTTATCTAATCACAACCTGATTAACAAAGGGTCAATGTTTATTTACAGATCATGTATCTGATAAGGGGTTAATATTTCAAAATTTATAAAGAATCCATGAAATTCAGTAGTGGAAAAAGAACCAAATTAAAAAATGGACAAAAGACCTCATTGGACATTTCTCCAAATAAGACACAAAAGCAGTCAATAAGTATATGAAAAGGTACTCAACATTATTAGGGAAATGGAAATAAAAATTACTATGTGTTATCACCTTATACCTTTTAGGATAGTTAGAGTAGCTATTATCAAAAAGCCAAATACAACAAATGTTGTTATGAGTGTTGGGAAAAAGGGACTCTTTTGTATACTGTTGGGCATGTACATTAATATGATGAATATAGAAAACTGTATGGAGTTTCAAAAGAAATTAATAATAAAATTATGTTATAACCTAGCAGTCCTTTTGGGTATACTTTTAGAAGTATACTCAAAAAGAAATAAAATCACCACCTCATAAAGATATCTGTGCCCCTATGGTAACTACAGCATTATTCACCATAGCTAAGACATGGAAACAAAGTAAGTGTCCAATGACCCATGAATGAATAAAGAAACTCCCTCCCAAAAAAAAAAAAAAAATAGGATAGCACATTTTATTCATCCCTAAAGAAAAACGAGATCTTATCATAGATGGCTTACCTAGATGGCTCTGAGGAACACTATGCTTAGTGAAATAATCAACCACAGAAAGAAAACATATTGCAAGATCTTACATATACAGAATTTAATGAAAAAAATTCCAATATACTGTGCTAGATAAAGAAGCAGTGGTTAACAGGGGGTAGTGAGAGGATGGGGAAGAAATGGGGAGATACAGGTCAGAAAATACAAAGTAGTGGATATGTGGAATGAACAAGTTGAGAAATCTAATTTCCAATTTGGTCGCTATAGGTAATAAAATTGTATTTTATATAGGAATTCATGCTTAATGAGAAGATAGTTTATCTTATACAACCCCCAAATAATGATGGCCATATTAATTTATTTCACTATAGTAATCTTTTTATTATCTATATGTATCCCGTGGTATCATGTGGTATAACTTATTACACATGACAAATTTTATTTAAAAAAAAAAAAAAACTAAAAAAAAAAAAAAGCCAGGCATGGTCGTGCATGCCTGTAATCCCAGCCATGTAGGAGGCTGAGGCAGGAGAATCACAAGTTCAAAACCAGCCTCAGAAATAGTGAGGCACTAAGCAACTCAGTGAGACTATATCTCTAAATAAAATACAAAATAGGCCTGGAGATGTGGCTCAGTGGCAGAGTGCCCCTGAGTTCAATCCCTGGAAACCCCCCTGCAAGAAAAAAGCAACACTAAAAAATGTTAATGTTGAATCTGAAAACTATTACTTGTTTTATGTATTTTAAATACTATTATTAATATAAATCATTTTTGGAGCTAAGCTATATTAAAAAACATAGATTGCACATTTCATGTTGCACATTTCAGATTCTGCCCTTGCTTTTAAAA